CCCCGTCAGTTCAATGCTGTTGCTTTAAATAGCCTGACTGCACGGTGTCCCCTCACAAAGAATAACAGCAGCTCTTAAAGGGACACTGTCAGCATCAACCTCGGTTTCTCTTCCCCCCACCCCCCCCCAATCATTTTTGAAAATTATGTTCTGCTACGTTTTTTTAAATCACTGTTAGGGTGGTTTTCTCTATCCTGGCTAAATATAATTGTTAAGAACCTCTTTGGTAAGTGAGACACAAAAATGTATCTAGAGCCACACAGCTGCATGAAGATTTGAGTAAATGTTTCTTTATCCATTGAAGTCAGTTAGACTACTAAAAATTACTGTGAATCTGATACAGAAGTATTGAAATGTAGGGCAGGAAGAGACCTGAAGAGATCATGTTTTATGTGTTCTGTCACCTTAAAAAAACCCAAACCAAACAAAAAAACCCCAAACACTTGTCTAACCTGTTCTTTAAAATGTTTAAGTAACTATTCTGTACCTTAAAGATACTGATTCACCATGGTTGACAGCAAAAAAAGAATATTCTGTCCTATACACAAAGAATGACTGACAGCCATCCGTTGTTTTTCATATATTGAAGAACAATTTCTCTCATTCTCTCTCCTTTGTTCTTCTCCTTTTCTTGTTTGAGAGTAAGCAAACCCAAATGATTCCTTATTACTTATGAGTGTTAGACCCATGTACTGTCAAATATATTAAGTAGATGCAGGTGATATAAAAATCTGAAATTTTGTAGCTATTAAATATTATTCAGATAATATCTCTCTTCCTCTTCTGTCCTTTTCCCCTTCTCACAGCTGATGTTCTTCCTAAAGCATCTTTCTCTCACTCAGAGGAATCCTGTGCTCATACAGAAAGGATTATCTGAGTCAGGACCCTCCATTGTCCTCAATCTGGAATTTCCATTTTCATTTACAAATTGTTATGGCTCATCTGTCCATCTGCAGTGAACATCGTTGTCTGCATCAGTCTAACTGATGCACATTTGCCAGCTTGAGTTTGCAGGGAGCCTGCAAGAAAAAAACTCAAAATTTGAGCTGTCCAATTCTCTAACCCCATTACTAGAAATGATTTGAACAGTTTAGTCCTTTTAAAAATGGGAACACTGCGCAGCGTAATTTTTTTTTTTAAAGGAATGAAACTTCAGTATAGGTATCTTGTGTAGCATGCAGTATTCTGAAAGTACTGTGTGTGTGCCTTGAAATAGCTATGTTGAACTAATACAAGGCAAAAGAAAACTCAGTTTGTCATGTTGTGTGTTACATACTTATCAATACTAGTCCATTAAGATTTTTCAAGGAAGGCAAATAAAAATCAGTCTGAACTGGGGCATATTGAAAGATTGCTCCGCTGTGCGATCACTGATCCATAGCATATGATATGTTTTAACATGGTTTTGTAAATAGCTACATCATCTACTTCAGCTAGAAAGTGTTTTAACAAACCGCTGTTTTTCTGATACCTGTCAAAAATTGACAGGTACTGACTAATGAAAGCTCTTTTTTCTTGATTCCAATATAATAACTAGTAAGCAAGCAATAATAACATGTAATTTTAGTATTAATTGGAAGTACAGGGAAGGCAGAGAATCAGTATTTGCTAATGGAACAATGGAGGAGAAGAATCTGTAGGAAGAAATAGTTTAATGCTTTTTCTAAAAGCAATGCAAACAGTGAAGGAATAAAAACTATTTAGAGAACTACTTGACATTAATTTTTTTTTTACCTCTCCCATCTTTTCATTTGTGAGCTAGGGCACTCAAAATCCGAAACTTATTCAAGTTTCAACATGTTTCTGTGATCTTAAAGTTATTTTATGTTTGTACAGTTTTAGACCCTCCTCTTGCAAATATTTGTGGGAATGTGGGGGATGTGGGGAGGATATGACACCTCTTAAACTCAGTGTGATTATTCTTATGCATAAGACTTATTACATGTGAGTATTTGTTTGCAGCACTTCTGGGTCTTGATGCTGCTACTGTAGTCTGTAGTGAGAGGAGACTTTGGTTTTACAATAGCAATTCACCATGCCATGGCTAAAAAGTGGTAAATAACCCTTGATTATCTACAACCTGTACAGGACTAGAGCTGTCCTTTGTATTTCAGGCTTGTAAAGGAAATTGGCTGCTGTATTAATAGTGAGTAAATTTAAAATATTAGCCAGAACTCAGCTGTTTTCTCTCTCTCTCTCCCCCCCACCCTCTGTTTTTTCAGTGATTTTTTTGAACGCACCATTCTGTGCAACAGCCTTGTGTGGAGCTGTGCTGTCACAGGTAAACCAGGACTCACATATCAGGAAGCACTGGAATCAGAGAAGAAAGCCAGACATAATCTTCAGAGTTTTCCAGAGGCACTCATCATTCCAGTTCTCTACTTGGCCACCCTTACCCATCGCTCCCGACTTCATGAGATCTGTGATGAAATCTTTGCTTATGTCAAGGATCGGTATTTTGTTGGTGAAACAGTGGAAGTAGTTAGAAACAATGGTGCAAGGTAAGTATATTTAAAAATAGATATGTATTTCTTTCTGTTTCGTGTGTGTGGATTTGCGTGCATTTTTAAAAACCAAAAATCAGGATAATGAACTCCATCAAACACACCTGAAGTGAGGTGTGATGCTTAAGCTAGTGATACTGTTACTGCTCCTCCCTACTTTAATTAAGAGTAGGATTGTATTGCTGGGCTTGGTATCTCTTTTCTTAGCTTAGAAGCAGCTGTGGAGGCAGGACAGCTCTCTCAGGTCCTAACACTGCAGTTTTTTGGTCCATGTGGTGGATTTGCAAAGGAATGTCAGTCCCCTGGTGTGAGAAAGGTGGGTTGTTTATACAATGAGATTTAATGAGAAACTAGGGGAAGCTATGAATGAAAAATCATATGAAAGTTTTGATGAAATAATCTAGAATGTAATTCATCACATGGTGTTTTGTGTACTCAGAATGGCGGAACTATTGAAAGCTTAAAGAATCAATGGAAGTTGGATTTTTTTCTTTTTATAGGTAGTGGTGAACATTGTGACTGCATTCTCAGAGAAGCTGGGAATTAATCATAAAATGTTTGTAATATGTGATCATCTGGGATTTAGTGTGATGTGGGTTTTTTTCCCCCACTCAGTGTTATGTTTACCCTTATACTCATGTATATATTGCAAATGTTTTTATTGTTATCTTAGACTGATTAAAAACTTGGAAGAATTTTAAGCTTCAGATGCTTGCTTTCTCATGTCATTGGTACATATGCTCTGTAGTATAAATAAGTTGTTTTACAACACGTAGCTAACTTGAGTCTTTCTTTAAAACAGCTTCTGGGAGAGGACTAGAAAAGGTCCATGTTTTGTCTAAATGAGTTTGCCATTTCACCTAACTGAGGTTTAAAATGGGAAAGGCTTAAATGTGCTCAACTTGGAAATACCTGCAGAATGTTTTCTAAAGCCTTTGTGGGTTCAGCTGTCGCTGGTTTTTTTGTTGTTGTTATTCTTTGTTTGTGGGGTTGTTTTGTTTTGCTTTTTTCAGGAGGCAGGTGCCAGCTTATGCTGCAGAGTAGATGGGGCACAACCTCTTGGCTTCTGTGGGTAGCCTGAGGTCGGCACGTAATCTGGTATATACTGGGTGATAGGAGTGGGCTGGTTGAAAATGGTCATTGGAGAACATAGTTATTCTGTATGAGTTTTTTTAGTGATCCAGATCTTATTTAAGGCAAATTTTGTACTACACCAGGAAGAAAAATCTGTTGATGTGCTGCAGGAGATAAGTTGTAAGGAAATTTGTATGGGTATGTACGTAAGTTCAGTGTTTAATAGAAAAGCTTTCCATCTTTTCCCTGCTCTACTCCTTTCAACCAGTGAAGTCCCAGTCTGCAAAGTCAGGACAACTTCAGTAGAGTTGTTGCTTTCTGTACAGAAAATGTATATCCAAAGTTTGTTTCTATCTTTCTCATCTTTATACTTGTCTAATGACTAGACTCAGTTTACCGCTAGTATTACAGTCATTTTGCTTGGAGAATAAGGGTTTTTTTCTTTTTTTTTTTTTTAACTAGAAACCTGAATATTATGAACTGTCAGTGTAGTTCAGCTGTTGGGTTTTGTTTGCTCAATGAAATGACTTTGTTTTCAATCTTTGGTACTGTCAGTCTCTAAACTAATAGCAAAAAAAGAATGCTTTAGAAGAACAAACCTTTTTCCCCCAAGAACAACCCTCCTGTCTTTCTCTTGCTTTTCTAAACTCTTTGCTAAAATATTTATGTGTGCATTTTAGCTTTTCAACGCTTAAATGAAAAGTAAGCTTATACGCAGTAAATACAAGTCTGTCTTGTTTCTTCATCTTTTGAAATTCAGAATCCTTTTCACTTTTTTTTTAGACCATCATAAATCGGTTTTTGTTTGCCCTAACAAAATGGTTTCTGCTTACCATGTAAGCTAAATTCTGTTCAGATAAAGTTGTGATAGGATTGTATCTTGTGAAGCTAGTGCTATCAATTTTTTTACCAGCCCTTAATTCAATCTTCTTGGTTATTCAAAATTGTGTTGAGATACATATCTAACAATTTTGTGTTTATTTTCCACTTTCACAGATCAATATATTGATAGGCTATAAGCTAAATTTCTTAAGCCTTTGGGGTGGGCTAGATAGCATTCAAAATATCGAAGATTCAGATAAAATCTATTTCCATTGAGAATTAACCTGCTAGAGACTGTATGTTTTAAAACTACATAAGTATAAACTTGTGTCTGGTAAAATGAAGCATGAAAAATTCACCTTAGCTGATTGTATACCACTGATATTCTAGAGAAGTGTATAGCAGAGAGCTAGTTCAGACCTTTAACACTAAATCCAGGAAACAGTGCAAATAACATAGTAATGCAGAGGGATTTTTATGCTTAGAGATATATAATTAAAGAATACAAAGTGGGAGGAGGTGAGGCATAGTTATTCTTCTGCCCAATTAACAGTTGACTTTGACCTATATTTTGAAGTACTACATTGGGGATTAAGTATACTAACTCTTGTTACTTGTAAATAACACGGCTGTTCAACAGAGTGATTTGTGCATGTTTGTCCTGTGCAGCTATGTTTTTGTGATCTTTTCTAGCAAAAATGGTCACAGTCCATCTATAGTATAATAGCATCCTATGAGACCAACAGAATTTGGCAGATCATGAAAATGCAGTTGTGTTGTGGTGTTGTAAACTCTTCCACTGCATTTATGTATGAAGATTTTTGCACATGTAATGTCAGCAGGATCATTTGTTATCTGAGCTCCGTGCATCATTTAATGTGAAGCCTACAACATAATGCATGTGTAACCCGGGGTTGCTCAAACAACTTATGTATTGATATTTTATAGCTCCTAACTTCGCACATGTAATATTCTTGTAGGACAGATTGCTTTGATGCAGCTTTCTAGATTTTGAACAAAGTAAATGGGAGGGAACCCAAACACTAGAAGGGTTAGCATTTTGGCTTAACGTAAATGTTTTTATCTTGCGCATATGATGTAGTCTATAGTACTGTAAGCAATGGACAGGTGATCTAGAAAGAGTAAGAGGACAAGTGCTTTGTGGAGAGACTAGGCAGAAGGAGGTTATGTTTGGTTTTTTTTTTTTGAGACCGGTGGTTCTTGTATCCAACCCGTGTGTTCTGGTTGATGCAGCGGGGCATCAGATTCTGCTTTTTCTGATCTTATGTCCCTCTCAGGCTCTTCTGGTTTCTAACCTTTTGTTGTGCTGCTCAGTTTTGAATTGGTTGCTTCCGCCTTGTTGCTGAGGTCTGGTAGGAGGAACCCGGAGAGTTTGGGAGATATTCTGTCTTCCTGTTGTTTTGGTATGTCTGGTGGCTTAACAGCCCTTCTTAACTAGAAAGAAATTGCAGAGAAAGCCCCCCAGTTGTATGATGTGGCTTGTTCAGGCAGTTTCTGGAAAAGATGTGTCTAATTTGGTAATCTAGTAGAAGCAGCAAGGAGATAATTCTGCTTGCTCTTTAACTCCTTCAGATGATGTGTTGATTAAAAATGGCTAGCTTTTCTTGGTTTACATGTGTCCAGCTTTTCTGGCTAAAGTGGGGCTGACTTTTCTCCAAAGTAGCAGCTGTGCTACTACAACATGAGCGGATTGGATTCCCAGTTAAAGAACTGTAGGAGTTGTGTAACAATGTTTTCCTAGTACTGCCTTCATAAAAGACAAAATTATTATTTGAAACATCAGTCAGAAACATCATATAATATATACAGAAAACTTAAATTAAGTTTGTCTGAGCTGCCAAGGAATTGAAAACAGCCAACACTGTAAGTACTGTTATTAGAATGTCCAATTGCTGTTTATGGAAAGTAATTCATTGAAAAAGGCATGGAAATTGTTCAAGATTTTGTTGGGGGGGGGGAAATTAGAGCAATATTTCACGTTAACCGTGGTCAGTTAAGATGTAAAATAAGCAGCTAACTTAACTCACGCTTTATTGAAGCAGAGGAAAAATGTTGACCACATCACTGGGATTGCTTCCTATATTTGCTCTGCAGAACTAAAAGTTTAAGACCCATATGATACTAGTTGGCTTTTTGTTTTTCCACAAGGAATGATATCTCTTGAAGTAACATGTCCATTTGTTGCTCTCTTAGTACTGTGTTGTATTATTGGTACTTAAAACTTGTGAAATTGATTTTCAACATGTTGGCATCTGAAGTCGGTTATCTGAAAGTTGGAACTATGTGGTGTGGAAAGCCTACCTGAAATAACCTCAGTGAGTGCCTCGGACACACCAAATAAAACCTACAACTGTGTAACTCACTCAGCTGTAGGATCTGTTCCTTTCTGCTTGAGGTCAGGAGCGTGCTTTATTTTTTTTAATTTTGTCAGAGGAAAAAGTAGATTTAAAGCAGGTAAACAACCAGTTGTGATTAACCATCAGTGTTCTGAGACTGAATGCTATCGCAAGAAATAATTGCTGTCTTTATTAGGGTATACAAGTGAGCAGGATGATAATTAGTTAATTAATCTGTAAACTTGCAGTCTGACTTGAGCAGTGAAGAGATCTGAGGTTTTAGGTTGGACAACTCTACTAACTCTTCAGTTCCCCCTCCCCCACCCTTAAAAATAGCTTATGTGACTATGCCTTACCAGTTGTTGTCCAACAATTAGTATGGAACTTAATTAAAAAGTCAGCCACCTGCAGACTAAAATAGATTGCTTGAAGGTAGTGTGTAAGAAGGAAGAAACCATACAGAACATGGCAGATACAAAAAAAGGAATGTCTTTTTTCATTGAATTTGACCACTAGATGACACCACTGCAAAAGAATACTTGCCTAATGTCTGTGAGCAGGCAACACCAGAATGCTTTAAGAGAACATAGTGTTTTTAAAAGGAACCTATTAACAGAGGACTTCATCTACTACTTCTGTAAGGAAGGTTGCTGCATCTGATCATACATTAGGTATAGGTTAACATCCTTTCTGTGCTCTGAATGATCTGATGTTGACCGTTGCCAAGCTGTAGGAAATGTGGAT